TTTGTCAGTGGGCAAACGTGCAAAATCAGCAGGGGATCAAATACTTTTTTCCCCTCACTGTATAGCAGCCAAATACTCTAAACGCGTGATGTTGATTATAAATGTGGAGGGGAAAACCGGAGGACCCGGAGTAAAATCCACGCGACCACGGGGAGCGAGAGAGAGACACGCAAACTCGAAATATACAGCAGCAGGCGTCAGGGTCGGAATCGAACCCACGACCACCTGCAGACCATGCGAGGTAGTTAACATCTCCTAGCCACCGTAGCGCCCCTTGTTGATGTGGTTGTTGTGATGGTTGTTGTTGTTGGTAGTGGTGGTTGTGGTTGTCGTGGTGGTTGCCTCAACCTCATCTCTCACGGCAAATCACGCGTCTCCTCCTCGACACTGCAAATCCCTTCTACCCATGAAAACAAACTCCAACCCAGGTGGCCGGGTTCACAGCACAGCGCGCTAACCACTGCGCCACCGCTCCCCACATTATCAACATCATGCGCACCATCATCAATACCATGAAAATCATCAACATTATCATACACATCCATAGTATTTAGATCAACATAACGTACGTAAACATTACTATTATCAACATCATGTACTGTAATTATGTATGTTGAACTTTTTTTGCACAGTAATTAGCCAACCGTGCTAATCGGAGGTGCGGGGGAAGAACAACAACACTAAACACGACAACACTAAACACGACAACACTAAACACGACAACACTAAACACTAAACACGACAACACTAAACACGACAACACTAAACACGACAACACTAAACACGACAACACTAAACACGGCAACACTAAACACGACAACACTAAACACGACAACACTAAACACGACAACACTAAACACGACAACACTAAACACTAAACACGACAACACTAAACACGACAACACTAAACACGACAACACTAAACACGACAACACTAAACACGACAACACTAAACACGACAACACTAAACACGACAACACTAAACACGGCAACACTAAACACGACAACACTAACACGACAACACTAAACACGAACAACACTAACACGACAACACTAAACACAACAACACTAAACACAACAACACTAAACACAACAACACTAAACACTACAACACTAAACACAACAAACTAAACATAACAACACTAAACACGACAACACTAAACACGACAACACTAAACACGACAACACTAAACACAACAACACTAAACACGACAACACTAAACACAAACTAAACACGGACAACACTAAACACAACAAACTAAACACGACAACACTAAACACGACAACACTAAACACAACAACACTAAACACGACAACACTAAACACGACAACACTAAACACAACAACACTAAACACGACAACACTAAACACAACAACAACACTAAACACGACAACACTAAACACGACAACACTAAACACGACAACACTAAACACGACAACACTAAACACGACAACACTAAACACGACAACACTAAACACAACAACACTAAACACAACAAACTAAACACGACAACACTAAACACAACAACACTAAACACAACAACACTAAACACTACAACACTAAACACAACAAACTAAACATAACAACACTAAACACGACAACACTAAACACGACAACACTAAACACGACAACACTAAACACAACAACACTAAACACGACAACACTAAACACAAACTAAACACGACAACACTAAACACAACAAACTAAACACGACAACACTAAACACGACAACACTAAACACAACAACACTAAACACGACAACACTAAACACGACAACACTAAACACAACAACACTAAACACAACAACACTAAACACGACAACACTAAACACAACAACAACACTAAACACGACAACACTAAACACGACAACACTAAACACGACAACACTAAACACGACAACACTAAACACGACAACACTAAACACAACACACTAAACACGACAACACTAAACACAACACACTAAACACAACAAACTAAACACGACAACACTAAACACAACAACACTAAACACAACAACACTAAACACAACAACACTAAACACAACAAACTAAACACGACAACACTAAACACAACAACACTAAACACGACAACACTAAACACGACAACACTAAACACGACAACACTAAACACAACACACTAAACACGACAACACTAAACACGACAACACTAAACACAACAACACTAAACACGACAACACTAAACACAACAAACTAAACACGACAACACTAAACACGACAACACTAAACACAACAACACTAAACACGACAACACTAAACACGACAACACTAAACACAACACTAAACACAACAACACTAAACACAACAAACTAAACACGACAACACTAAACACAACAACACTAAACACAACAAACTAAACACGACAACACTAAACACAACAAACTAAACACGACAACACTAAACACGACAACACTAAACACAACAACACTAAACACAACAACACTAAACACAACAACACTAAACACGACAAACTAAACACGACAACAAACTAAACACGACAACACTAAACACAACAACACTAAACACGACAACACTAAACACAACAACACTAAAGACGACAACACTAAACACAACAACACTAAACACAACAACAACACTAAACACAACAACACTAAACACAACACACTAAACACAACACTAAACACGACAACAAACTAAACACGACAACACTAAACACAACAACACTAAACACAACACTAAACACGACAACACTAAACACGACAACACTAAACACAACAACACTAAAAACGACAACACTAAACACGACAACACTAAACACAACAACACTAAACACAACAACAACACTAAACACAACACACTAAACAACAATACTAAACACAACAACACTAAACACAACAAACTAAACACAACAACACTAAACACAACAACAACACTAAACACAACACACTAAACAACAATACTAAACACGACAACACTAAACACAACAACAACACTAAACACAACACACTAAACAACAACAACACTAAACACGACAACACTAAACACAACACACTAAACACAACACACTAAACACAACAACACTAAACACAACAACAACACTAAACACGACAACACTAAACACAACAACAACACTAAACACAACAACACTAAACACGACAACACTAAACACAACACACTAAACACAACAACAACACTAAACACAACACACTAAACAACAACAACACTAAACACGACAACACTAAACACAACACACTAAACACAACACACTAAACACAACAACACTAAACACAACAACAACACTAAACACGACAACACTAAACACAACAACAACACTAAACACAACAACACTAAACACAACAACACTAAACACAACAAACTAAACACAACAAACTAAACACAACAAACGAAACACAACAAAGTGACTACAGTCACACATTCTTTGGCGATAGAGGCGAAGAACGGTTCGGGTCTCTCATCATCCTCATGAGCAACATCATCCTCATGATCCTCATCAACACCATCCTCATCAACATCCTCATGAGCAACATCATCATCCTCATGAGCAACATCATCATCCTCTAGTAATAGGTTTTTACCCTTTTATCTGGCACAAAAACTGACACCTTTATACAAGGGATCATGTTTGCAATAACCACAACACAAGTAGTCAAAATGCAAACAAAAAAGACAACTCTGCTAATAATATGCACTGTCCTTGAATTTGATTGGTCCACACCCGAGACGGCTTTTCTTAGAGCCCAGTCTCCACTGGTGTTGGACCAGAAGACGCCAAAAGGCGTACAACTAAAAAAACAGCGCACTATCAGAGTATTGAGAGCTCGGGGTAAGCACTTACATTATGAGACCTCATTTGCCAGTAACAAGATATAGTAATAGGTTTTTACCCATTTTAAACCTATTACTATATCTTGTTACTGGCAAAGGAGGTCTCATAATGTAAGTGCTTACCCCGAGCTCTCAATACTCTGATAGTGCGCTGTTTTTGAGTTGTACGCCTTTTGGCGTCTTCTGGTCCAACACCAGTGGAGACTGAGGGGCTCTAAGAAAAGCCGTCTCGGGTGTGGACCAATCAAATTCAAGGACAGTGCATATTATTATCAGTTGTCTTTTTTGTTTGCATTTTGACTACTTGTGTTGTGGTTATTGCAAACATGATCCCTTGTATAAAGGTGTCAGTTTTTGTGCCAGATAAAAGGGTAAAAACCTATTACTATATCTTGTTACTGGCAAAGGAGGTATCATCATCCTCATCAACATCATCCTCATCAACATCATCATCCGCATCATCTCCATCGATGCCCACTCAGGGCTGGCAGTGCCTCGCATTATGTCCGCCGCAAAGCGGACTCGCACAGAGACCCAGAGACTCACAAAGAGACGCAGACTTATACGCACAGACCCACAGACTTATACGCACAGACCCACAGACTTATACGCACAGACCCACAGACTTATACACGGAGACCCACAGACTTATACACGGAGACCCACAGACTCACAAGGAGACTCACACGGAGACCCACAGACTTACACATAGAGACCCACAGACTCACACGGAGACCCACAGACTCAGACTCACGCGGAGACTCACAGGCTCACACGGAGACCCGCAGACTCACGGAGACGCACAGATTCACACCGAGAACCACAGACTCACAGGTACTCATAGACTCGTGTAGAGACCTATACACGCCTGGTTCTCAAGCGTAGCCAATTGATGGTCTCAGCCCATCAACCCATCACACACCATCACTCGCACACTGCATTACAAATACCACAACATCGCACGTGTACCGTATCACACACCGCCACTCAAGCACAGAACCACTACAGAACATCAAAGACCACATCACACAGCGGCACTACAACGCGCACCACCATCACTCACAACAATAGCAGCAACAAACGCCGTTCGCCTGTGAATGGTGGTGACGTCACCACAGCGCTTGTGCCAGGCTAGGTGCACAGACACACATCATCACCCCGCCCGCCCCTCGTACCGGCTGTGCCCCGGGCCCCGTGTCTCCCCGCCATGCCGCGGCTCCCACCCGCACACGCGGAGATGAGGAGGAGGAGGATGCCGAGTTTTCCCTGCGGGGGCCGAGAGGGGCTGAGGCGGCGAGCAGGGCCCAGAGCAGAGCCCCGGCGCAAAGGGGTCCCAGCCGGTGCAGCCCCATCACTGGGGACTGAGCAGCCAGCGGGACGGGGCCCACTCCTCCTCCTTCCCGTGCCTCCCACCCCGATGTCTCCATCCTCCTCCGAGTGCCTTCCTCCTCCTTCTCCTGCCCCTCTAGTTTCGCCCTCCTCCTCCGCCCCATCCCCGTGTATCCCTCCTTATCCCCGTGTCTCCCTCCCCCTCACGTGTCTCCCTCCCCGTGTCTCCCTCCTCCTCGTGTCCTCCTCCTCCCCATATCTTGCTCCCCTTGTCTCTCTCCTCCCCGTGTCTCCTCCCTCCTCTCCCGTGTCTCCTCCCCGTGTCCCCCTCTTTGTCCCCGTGTCTCCCCCCTCCTCCCCGTATCTTACTCCTACTCCCATTTCCTCCGTCCGCTTGTCTCCTTCCTCATCCCCGTGTCTCCCTAATTCCCTTGTCTCCCTTCTCCTCCCCGTGTCTCCCTCCTCCTCCCCGTGTCTCCCTCCTCCTCGTGTCTTCCTCCTCCCCATGTCTCCATCTTCCTTCCGTGTCTCCCTCCTCGCTGCCTGTAACCCATAACTGTGAAGCAGCGAGGGTTGGTGGATAACACACAGATGAGTTGGTGGATAACACACAGATAACACACAGATGAGTTGTGAAACTCCCTTCTACCCGTGTCTCCTTCCCACCCCCCCCCCGTGTCTCCCTCCTACCCCCCCCCGTGTCTCCTCCTACCCCCCCCCGTGTCTCCCTCCCCTCCCCCCCGTGTCTCCATCCCCCCCCCCATCTCCCCCAACCCGCTCCGTGTCTTCCTCCCCCCCCCCGTGACTCCCTCCCCCCCCCCGTCTATCCCCCCCCCCCCCCCCCCCGTGTCTCCCTCCCACCCCCCCCCCCGTGTCTCCCTCCCCCTCCCCTTGTCTCCCTCCAGCTCCCCCCCCCCACCGTGTCTCCCTCTTACCCCCCCCGTGTCTTCCTCCCCCTCCCAATGTGCCCCTACTGCCCCCCCCTCACCGTATCTCCCTCCCCCCCCCGTGTCTCCTCCCACCCCCCCCCGTGTCTCCCTCCCACCCCCCCCCCCCCCGTGTCTCCCTCCCACCCCCCCCCGTGTCTCCCTCCCACCCCCCGTGTCTCCCACCCACCCCCAGTGTTTCCCTCCCACCCCTCAGTGTCTCCCTCCCGTGTCTCCTCCTCCTCTCCCTGTCTCTCTCCTCCCCGTGTCCCCCTCTTTGTCCCCGTGTCTCCCCCCTCCTCCCCATATCTTACTCCTACTCCCATTTCCTCCATCCGCTTGTCTCCTTCCTCCTCCCCGTGTCTCCCTAATTCCCTTGTCTCCCTTCTCTTCCCCGTGTCTCCCTTCTCCTCCCCGTGTCTCCCCCCTCCTCCCCGTGTCTCTCTCCCACCCCCGTGTCCCCCACCCCCGCATGTCTCCCTCCCACCCCCACCCCCCGTGAATCCCTCCCCCTCCCTATGTGCCCCTAATGCCCCCCACCCCCTGACCGTGTCTCCGCCCCTCCCCCCCCCCGTGTCTCCCTCCCACTCCCCCCCCCCGTGTCTCCCTCCCACTCCCCCCCCTTCGTGTCTTCCTCCCACCCCCCCCGTGTCTCCCCCCCCGTGTCTCCCTCCCACCCCCCAGTGTCTCCCTCCCCCCCGTGTCTCTCTCCCACCCCCCCGTGTCTCCCTCCCCCCCCCGTGTCTCCCTCCCACCCACCCCGTGTCTCCCTCCCCCCCCCGTGTCTCTCTCCCACCCCCCCCGTGTCTCCCTCCCACCCACCCCGTGTCTCCCTCCCCCCCCCCCCCGTGTCTCCCTCCCACCCCCCAGTGTCTCCCTCCCCCCCCGTGTCTCTCTCCCACCCCCCCCCCCGTGTCTCCCTCCCACCCACCCCGTGTCTCCCTCCCCCCCCGTGTCTCCCTCCCACCCCCCAGTGTCTCCCTCCCCCCCCCGTGTCTCCCTCCCACCCCCCCGTGTCTCTCTCCCACCCCCCCCCCGTGTCTCCCTCCCACCCCCCAGTGTCTCCCTCCCCCCCCGTGTCTCCCTCCCACCCACCCCGTGTCTCACTCCCCCCCCTCCCATGTCTCCCTCCCACCCACCCCGTGTCTCCCTCCCCCCCCCCGTGTCTCCCTCCCACCCACCCCGTGTCTCCCTCCCCCCCCGTGTCTCCCTCCCCCCCCCCCGTGTCTCCCTCCCACCCCCCCGTGTCTCACTCTCCCCCCCCGTGTCTCTCTCCCACCCTCCCCCCCGTGTCTCCCCCCTCCTCCCCGTGTCTCACTCCTACTCTATTACCTCCCTCCTCGTGTCTCGCTTCTCCCCGTGTTTCCCTCTTGCTCCCCATGTCGCCTCCCTCCTCCCCGTGTTTCTCGCCTCCTCTTGTCTCCCTCCTCCTACCCGTGTCTCCCTCCTCTTATCTCCCTCCTCGCTGCCTGTAACCCATAACTGTGAAGCAGCGAGGGTTGGTGGATAACACACAGATGAGTTGGTGGATAACACACAGATAACACACAGATAACACACAGATGAGTTGTGAAACTCCCTTCTACCCGTGTGTGGGCGCCGAGGAGGAGCCGTGCCCTGGCTCGCCTGGACACGGCAGCATAGCAAGTGGAGTAATCACCGTCTGTTTATTCCATCTGTACTCCGATTTCCTCCCACGTGTATAAACACGTTGATTGACTGAAAACATCTACAAATAAAAACCCAAATTAGTAGGACCATCTTGAAAAAGACTCGTATGACTGTGACTCTCCTGGGTAAACAAGTAGGATGTCTCCTCCTCTCCGTGTCTCCCTCCTCCCCGTGTCTCACTCCTCCCCGCGTCTCACTCCTCCCCGCGTCTCCCTCCTCCCCGCGTCTCCCTCCTCCCCGTGTCTCCTCCTCCCCGCGTCTCCCTCCTCCCCGCGTCTCACTCCTCCCCGCGTCTCACTCCTCCCCGTGTCTCAATCCTCCCCTTGTCTCCCTCCTCCCCGTGTCTCCCTCCTCCCCGTGTCTCCTCCTCCCCGCGTCTCCCTCCTCCCCGCGTCTCACTCCTCCCCGTGTCTCCCTCCTCCCCGTGTCTCCTCCTCCCCGCGTCTCCCTCCTCCCCGTGTCTCAATCATCCCCTTGTCTCCCTCCTTCCCGTGTCTCCCTCCTCCCCGCGTCTCACTCCTCCCCGCGTCTCCCTCCTCCCCGTGTCTCCCTCCTCCCCGCGTCTCCCTCCTCCCCGCATCTCCCTCCTCCCCGCGTCTCACTCCTCCCCGCGTCTCCCTCCTCCCCGTGTCTCCCTCCTCCCCGTGTCTCAATCCTCCCTGTGTCTCCCTCCCCCTCCCTGTGTCCCCCTCCAGCTCCCCCCCGCCCTCCACCGTGTCTCCCTCCCACCCCCCGTGTCATCCCCCCCCGTGTCTCCCTCCTATCCCCCCCGTGTCTCCCTCCCCCGTGTCTCCCAACCCCCCCTCCCGTGTCTCCCCCCCCCGTGTCTCCCCCCCCGTGTCTCCCCCCCCCCGTATCTCCCCCCACCCCCGTGTCTCCCCCCCCCCGTGTCTCCCCCCCCCTGTGTCTCCCCCCCCCGTGTCTCCCCCCCCCGTGTCTCCCTCCCCCCTCGTGTCTCCCCCCTCGTGTCTCCCCCCCCCGTGTCTCCCCCCACCCCCCCCCGTGTCTCCCTCCTCCCCGGTGTCTCCATCCCACCCCCCCCCCCGTGTCTCCCTCCCACCCCCCGTGTCTCCCTCCCCGGTGTCTCCATCCTACCTCCCCCCGTGTCTCCTTCCCCCCACCCGTGTCTCCCTCCCCCCCCCGTGTCTCCCTCCCCCCCCCCCCGTGTCTCCCTCCCACCCCCCCGTGTCTCCCTCCCCCGTGTCTCCCCACCCCCCCTCCCGTGTCTCCCCCCCCCGTGTCTCCCCCCGCCTGTGTCTCCCCCCCCGTGTCTCCCCCCCCGTGTCTCCCCCCCCCCGTGTCTCCCCCCTCGTGTCTCCCCCCCCGTGTCTCCCCCCACCCCCCCGTGTCTCCCCCCACCCCCCCCGTGTCTCCCCCCCCCACCCCGTGTCTCCCTCCCACCCCCCCCCCGTGTCTCCCTCCCACCCCCCCCCCCGTGTCTCCCTCCCCCCCCGTGTCTCCCCCTCGTGTCTCCCCCCCCCGTGTCTCCCCCCACCCACCCCGTGTCTCCCTCCCACCCCCCCCCCCCCCACCGTGTCTCCCTCCCCCCCCCCCGTGTCTCCCCCCCCCCGTGTCTCCCCCCCCCCCGTGTCTCCCCTCCCCCACCCCCCGTGTCTCCCTCCCACCTCCCCCCCTGTCTCCCCCCCCGTGCCTCCCTCCCCCCCCCCCCCCGTGTCTCCCCCCCTCCCCGTGTCTCCCCCCCCCGTGTCTCCCCCCCTCCCCGTGTCTCCCCCCCCACCCCGTGTCTCCCCCCCCCCGTGTCTCCCCCCCCAACCCCCCCCCGTGTCTCCCCCCCCCCGTGTCTCCCCCCCCACCCCGTGTCTCCCCCCCCCCCGTGTCTCCCCACCCCCCGTGTCTCCCTCCCACCTCCCCCCCTGTCTCCCCCCCGTGCCTCCCTCCCCCCCCCCGTGTCTCCCCCCCCGTGTCTCCCCCCTTCCCCGTGTCTCCCCCCCCCCGTGTCTCCCCCCTCCCCGTATCTCCCCCCCACCCCGTGTCTCCCCACCCCGTGTCTCCCCACCCCGTGTCTCCCCCCTCCCCGTATCTCCCCCCCCCGTGTCTCCCCCCTCCCCGTATCTCCCCCCCCCCGTGTCTCCCCCACCCCGTGTCTCCCCCCCCGTGTCTCCCCCCCACCCCGTGTCTCCCCCCCTCCCCGTGTCTCCCCCCCCGTGTCTCCCCCCTCCCCGTATCTCCCCCCCCGTGTCTCCCCCCTCCCCGTATCTCCCCCCCCCCCGTGTCTCCCCCACCCCGTGTCTCCCCCCCCGTGTCTCCCCCCCACCCCGTGTCTCCCCCCCCCCGTGTCTCCCCCCCCAACCCCCCCCCCCCCAGTGTCTCCCCCCCGTGTCTCCCCCCCCACCCCGTGTCTCCCTCCCCCCCCGTGTCTCCGCCCCCACCCCGTGTCTCCCCCCCCCGTGTCTCCCCCCCCCGTGTCTCCCCCCCCACCCCGTGTCTCCCTCCCCCCCCGTGTCTACCCCACCACCCCGTGTCTCCCCCCCCCCCGTGTCTCCCCCCCCCCCGTGTCTCCCCCCCCACCCCGTGTCTCCCCCCCCGTGTCTCCCCCCCCACCCCGTGTCTCCCCCCCCGTGTCTCCCCCCCCCGTGTCTCCCTCCCCCCCCGTGTCTCCCACCCCGTGTCTCCCCCCACCCGTGTCTCCCCCCCCCCCCGTGTCTCCCTCCCCCCCCCGTGTCCCCCCCCCGTGTCTCCCCCCCCAGTGTCTCCCCCCCCCCGTGTCTCCCCCCCAGTGTCTCTCCCCCCACCCCGTGTCTCCCCCCCCCACCCCGTGTCTCCCTCCCCCCCCCGTGTCTCCCCCCCCACCCCGTGTCTCCCCCCCCCCGTGTCTCCCCCCCCCCGTGTCTCCCTCCCCCCCCCGTGTCCCCCCCCCGTGTCTCCCCCCCCAACCCCCCCCCAGTGTCTCCCCCCCCCGTGTCTCCCCCCCCCCCGTGTCTCCCCCCCCACCCCGTGTCTCCCCCCCCGTGTCTCCCCCCCCACCCCGTGTCTCCCCCCCCGTGTCTCCCCCCCCCGTGTCTCCCTCCCCCCCCGTGTCTCCCACCCCGTGTCTCCCCCCACCCGTGTCTCCCCCCCCCCGTGTCTCCCTCCCCCCCCCGTGTCCCCCCCCGTGTCTCCCCCCCCAGTGTCTCCCCCCCCCGTGTCTCCCCCCCAGTGTCTCTCCCCCCACCCCGTGTCTCCCCCCCCCACCCCGTGTCTCCCTCCCCCCCCCCGTGTCTCCCCCCCCACCCCGTGTCTCCCCCCCCCGTGTCTCCCCCCCCCCCGTGTCTCCCTCCCCCCCCCGTGCCCCCCCCCCGTGTCTCCCCCCCCAACCCCCCCCCAGTGTCTCCCCCCCCCGTGTCTCCCCCCCCACCCCGTGTCTCCCCCCCCCCGTGTCACCCCCCCCCCGTGTCTCCCCCCCCCACCCCGTGTCTCCCTCCCCCCCCGTGTCTCCCCCCCCACCCCGTGTCTCAGCCCCCCCGTGTCTCCCCCCCCCCGTGTCTCCCCTCCCCCGTGTCTCCCCCCCCCACCCCGTGTCTCCCCCCCCCGTGTCTCCCCCCCCCCACCCCGTGTCTTCCCCCCCGTGTCTCCCCCCCCCGTGTCTCCCTCCCCCCCCGTGTCTCCCCCCCCACCCCGTGTCTCCCCCCACCCCGTGTCTCCCTCCCCCCCCCGTGTCTCCCCCCCCGTGTCTCCCCCCCCCCCGTGTCTCCCTCCCCCCCCCGTGTCCCCCCCCCGTGTCTCCCCCCCAACCCCCCCCCAGTGTCTCCCGCCCCCGTGTCTCCCCCCCAGTGTCTCCCCCCCCACCCCGTGTCTCCCCCCCCACCCCGTGTCTCCCTCCCCCCCCCCGTGTCTCCCCCCCCACCCCGTGTCTCCCCCCCCCCGTGTCTCCCCCCCCCCCGTGTCTCCCTCCCCCCCCCGTGTCCCCCCCCCGTGTCTCCCCCCCCAACCCCCCCCCAGTGTCTCCCCCCCCCGTGTCTCCCCCCCCCCCGTGTCTCCCCCCCCCGTGTCTCCCCCCCCCCGTGTCTCCCTTCCCCCCCGTGTCCCCCCCCCCAACCCCCCCCCCGTGTCTCCCTCCCCCCCCGTGTCTCCCCCCCCAACCCCCCCCCCGTGTCTCCCCCCCCCCGTGCCTCCCCCCCCGTGCCTCCCCCCCCCCGTGTCTCCCCCCCCCCCCCGTGTCTCCCCCCCCCCTCCACTCACGACGCGTACAGTCACTCCGGGCGGTGGGGGCGCGGGGCCGGCGAAAGAGGGCGGGGCTCCTCCTGTTGGGCGGAACTCGCTCACGTGACCGATTTGGGCCAATCGCGTGGCACTCAGGAGTTGTGAACGTCTGCGAGCCTCTTTGCTTGGTGGCGCCAGCGTGAGGTCGCAGAAGAAGTCTCTACAATCCATCACTAAAAGGTAACTAAAGTTTGCCATCCGTTACTTTCACCACCACCCTGTTGTGCGCTGACCTCGTCCGAGTCGATTAAGGTCGCATTATTGGGCTGCGGCGTTTTATTTTGTCTGGAGTCGTTCGCGCGAACAGCGACCCATTCACGGCGCGCCATGCGAGGCGGAATCGAGTTTCGCGGCTTTTTTACAGTCAATGAAGAGCGCGACGAATGTGCTTTATCTGCTATGTTTGTCTCGTCTTATTGTAGTTACGAAGCGTCAGGGCAGGCTGCTGCACGCGTTGCCGTAATTCGTGTTGAGGTTTCGCTTGCGAGTGGCTCGGTTGCGCAAGGCCGCGGGCATTTTAGGCTTTTCCTAACTGCTTTCCCCGTCTCTCCCCCCTTCGCCCAGGCCCGGCAGCGCAGACATGGACATCAGACCCAACCACACGATCTACATCAACAACCTCAACGAGAAGATCAAGAAAGATGGTGCGAGTCCACTCACACAAAGATCCCCTGGTGGGACAAGTGCTTTTAGCGAGTAACAGCACCTTTGAAGGCCGGGACTGTGGCACACGAGGGGGTGGGTCGCCAGCACCACGCCCGGCCGCCTTTGTCTCCCCAGTGGCGATGTTTACACACTGCACCAGCTACCAAATTGAAGCCTAGTCGACCAAAAGGGAGGCCCAGGACCGGTCCAGATAATCGTCACTTGTGTTGGCCGTCAGCAGGAATCCAACTCGGGTCGCCAGGTTCGCGTCGCAGCGCGTTAACTGTGAGGGTTCATTGGCCATACTTCACCACGCCGGTCAGTGCGGGTTGGTGAAGGTGACGGAGGGAAGTTACGGAGCAACTCTCGTTGTTGCTGTACTGCCCGAAACAAAAACTATAGTTTTATTTTAACAGGTAAGGCCCACTGAGCTATGGAGCTATGTTTAAGAAGCAACCTGGCTATCACACATGACGGCTCAACGAAGTGGCGGCTTCTCGTCGTCGTCGTGTGTTAATGTAGAGCAGCAGCCAAACACTCGCAACGCGTAACGTTGTGGAGGGGAAAACCGGAGGACCCGGAGCAAAATACACGGGGAGAGAGACACGCAGACTCCAAATATACAGCAGGCGTGCGAGGATCGGTATCGAACTCGAGACCTCCTGTATACCAGGCGAGGCAGTTAACATCTCACCACCGTGGCGCTCCGCAAGCGCAGCTGTAACACCTGGGTATGCATGGCGGTGGTGGTGGTGATGGTCGCCCATCCAAGCACAAGGCTGCGCAGGTCGCTTGCTGCTTCGCGAGATGTCATGGGTGATGTGGCCAGAGGCCCCCCAACACACAAGAGATGTTTCAATTGATAAGCCTGGTGGGATATCTCCAGCAGCAGCTGCCATGCTCCACTGCTGGATGAAGGCCCTCCCCATGCCATTGCCATCCCCTCATGGTCCAGCGTTGCCATCTTCCCACCGCGCTCTTACGAGATGTTCACTACCTCGTCTGATATACAGGAGGTTGTGGGTTCAATCCCGAATCTGACCCCTGTATATTTGGAGTTTGCATTTCTCTCTCCCCGTGGTCACGTGGATTTTACTCCGGGTCCTCTGGGTTTTCCCTTCACATTGAGAATCAACGTGTTTAGAGTATTTTGCTGCAATACATTTACAAATGATAAGCCGCTTGGTTGAGCTATAATTTTTGATAGCCAGGTCGCTTCTAAAAAAAGAGTTGTATAACTCAGTGTGTATTACCTAGTAAAATAAAAAGTGTAGTTCATAGTTTAGATCGTGTCTTCGCAGTGGTCGTCCTCCCAGACGCGCTCCCACCGGCTGCCATTCAGTCTGGACCATCGGCCATCTTCCCACCTACCAATTTCCTGCCCATGCCATTTTACATTTCTTTCATTGTATTCTCCAGATTATAAAGATGCTCCGTGAAGTAAGATGGACTCAAACCAGAATGTATGACCGGTGTCAATAAAGTTAGAGATCCCCTGCATAACCATGACACAATTTTTGTGAAAGTGCTGTTGGTGAGCACCTATCAAGGCCGGCACGGGACACGAGGGGATGGGTGGCCAGCAATAGGACGCCCACTAATACCACACTTGGTACACTAACACGCACAACCAGGTAATAAGACACACTGCCAACTTTTGCCTGAAAAACAGCAAGGCACGACAATTGTCGCTGCGATAGCTGTGGCTGGTTGTCGGTCATGTTACCGTCTCGGCGCCTGACAACTTGGGCCCCTCTCCGTGGGGACCCCAGGTCCACTTTATCAGCGCCAACAGAAAAGGTCCCCTCGCTTCCTGCCAGCCAAAAACACGTGGCCCGGCGGCTTGAATAGCGGTCCACAACCTTCGTTACATTGTCGTTACGATCGTAGTCGTCATCTCCACTAGGCTCCACTAGCACCTTCATCGCCTACATCACTCGGATATCATCACATCACAATTTTAATCGTCATCACCGCTATCATCGTCTCTACTATCAACTGCTCATAGCCGACATTGACTATTATTTCAGCTGGTCCTGGGTCTTCCCTAGGGAAACTCGGCCTCAACTTAATACCTGCTGCGGGGTGTGGCAACATCAGCGCTGAAAAGACAAAGGTGGCCACCGGCCCCTTCGTGTACCTTAGAAGCATTCATCGGTATTCACTTACAATACTTTGCCTTGTTGTATGTTTGCTGAACTTCTTTCAAACCGTACATAACCAGCCGTGCTAATTCAGAGGTGGTGTGGGGGAAGGGCAGCAAACTAAACAGAGTTCTAAATTAGTTTTCAATTTAGATTTAAAAGTGCATAGCTCCAGTGGCTTCCAAATATCGGAAGGAAGAGCGTTTCAGACGGCCGCAAAAGCGCATCTGAAAGCGCGCAACGCAGTGACCGTCTTTGTTCGATGGATCGTCAAAAGCCGCTCCAAGGATGGCCAGAGTTTGCGAGATGGTTTGTTCCTTCACGAGATCTGCATGGTGTTGTGGTTCATTTGTGCAAGCACTCTGTGTGTGTGTGTATATATACACGGGGGATTTTGGTTCATTTAAGTAAACAACTTGATCTTACCTTACGGTATGCGCCACGTGTTACGTTACCCCATGGGCCACGTCCAAGCAGGACGTCCGGGAATGGGAGGGGATGTTCCCTCCACTTCCATGGTGAACTGAATGGGCCATTTGGTGGCTCTGCCTTGAGGGCAGACAGGACCAGTCTTCTTGCTTATGTAGATGCAGAGCAACAACTACAATGTCACATTCAGGTGGTCATCACAGATACCCACGTCAAGAGTAGCGGAGTGTATCGCTGTGATGTCTCCTCCGTATTTGTGGATTGGTGCATTTCCTCGTTACACGTTATATGGTTTGTTCTGGATGACCACAGTTACAGACTGTGGGAGAGTTTTCCATTGTGCACCAGGTATCATCCGCATCCACTGGCCATGGTTTGGGCAGTGGATGCGATTTAGGGTGGAGCAGTGTGTCTACAATGGCTTGGTCCCCGTGTACACATCGGCGTTTCCTGGGGACAAAGAGGAGCCCATTGGTTCTCCTTTTTATAAACTTTTCCACGTAGTAAATGGTCATTGGTTAAACAATGCTCAAAGTGAATTGCGGGGATTATTTTAACCTTTGTCAATTAAATTTACTATTTTAATCGTGTTATTATTTGGAAGACTTTAGTAATCAGGAAAACTACGTGAAATCGCATGCTTTCAGATGCTCTTCTGCGGCCATCAGGAACACTCTTCTCTCCGATATTAGGAAGCCACTGGAGCTATACAATTTTAAATCACCTAGATTGAAATTAATTTCTTCAGAACTTGCTTTTTGTGTTTAGTTTGTTCTCCCTACCCCGCACCTCTGATTATCACAGGTTGGCTACGTACGGTGCGAAAGAAGTTCAACATACATAAATACAGGATATCATTGTAATTTTTATGTTTTTAATTGTGTAACTTAGATATACATCAATTACAGTGAGGTATTAAGTCTTGACTTGCATAGAGCCAAGGCGTCGACGGCATGGATGGCTTTGGTAAGAGATCCAGGCTGGAGGAAGCCGAGGAGGAGTGACACCTCGGAGCAAAGGTCGGCTGGGCGGCTCCCGCAGAGCTTCGCCTGCTGCCAGCGGAAGAGGGCATCGTGAGGAGTCCCACGCGCCCACTCTCATGCAGTCTGCGGTTTCCTCAACTCGCTGTCGTCTGTCTCGCTCTCCCTCCTGTATTCCTCTCTCCCCATCTCTCTCCCCTTTCTCTCTCTCTCTCTTGCCACGCCCCGTAGAGCTCAAGAAGTCTCTGTACGCCATCTTCTCGCAGTTTGGGCAGATCCTGGACATTGTGGCACTCAAGACGCTAAAGATGCGGGGCCAGGCCTTTGTGATCTTCAAGGAGATCAGCAGCGCAACCAACGCCCTACGCTCAATGCAGGGCTTCCCCTTCTATGACAAGCCCATGGTGAGCAATCCTCCAGCTCCAGCACCATCGCTAAATATTAAACTATTTAAACTATTTTTTTATTTTACCGGAAGCAACCTGGCCACAAATTATAGCTCAACACATTGGATTATCATGTGGAAATTCACAGCAGCCAAATACTCTAAACGCACGTTGATCTTAAATTTGGAGGGAAAAACCAGAGGACCCGGAGAAAAATCCATGTGACCACTGATAGGGACACACCAACTCAGAATATATAGCAGGCATCATGGTCTGGATCGAACCCACGACCTCCTGCATACTAAGCGAGGTAGTTAACGTCTCGCCACCGCGGCACCCACCCTCGCCATTCCCACCACCGCCCTCGCCTCCTTGCGCAGCTTCCCGTGCTGCGACGAGCTCGTGGCGTGTAGGGGCAGGTGAAGGTTTGTGCGCGCGCGCGAGATTCTTACGGTCAATTGCAAGTGGCGGAGGCTTATAGAGGGGACAGACGGACGCTGTCTTGCGAGTGACGCCCGGGCGGGGTGCATTCACAGCGGATCCAGTACTCGAAGGTGGACTCGGACATCATCGCCAAGATGAAGGGCACCTTCGTGGAGCGTGAGAAAAAGAAGGATCGCAAGAAGAGCAAGGCCAAGGAGGATGCGGCGGCGGCTGCCAAGAAACCGGCCATCGCTCCCGCCGCTCCCATGGTGAGCACGCGGGTGGGGGTTGTGGTGTATAGGGGTGGTAGCATGTGTGTCGGGGTCGTGTGTGTGTCGGGGTCGTGTGTGTGTGTAGGGGACTTGTTTGTAGGGGTGGTGGTGGCGTGCGTGTGTAGGGGTAGTGCCGTGTCTAGTGGTGGTATGTTCGCGGGGTGTCGTGTGGATTGTTATTTGTGAGTTCACTCTCGCGAGTGTGTGCGTTGCTTGTGATCACGCCGCGCGTGTACGTGCTGTGTCCGTGTGTTTGTACGCGCATTGACGCCGACGCGCATGACCGTGCATGCAGGCCATGGCCCCCATGGTGGTCCAGCAGCCGCCCCCCATGCTGGGCATGCCCCCCGGGATGCCCGGAGCCCCCCCGCCCTACATGCCCCCCCCGGGGATGATGGCGCCGGGCATGGTCCCCCCTCCAGCAGGGGCTATGCCCCCCATGCAGGTACTGCCCCCCCCCCCCATTCCTCGCATCCACAAACACAACTCGAACACAGTTGGGATTTTTGGAGTGCCTGCAGACAACTGCGTGTCAAGACGCATAGACAAGAGCTTGAGTAGAGAAAGGGGTGGTGGGATGTGCTCAGGGCTAGTACTATTGTGGTGGCGCTAGTGCTGGTAAGTAGGGGTAGGACTGGTGGTACTCGTGGGTTAGGGGATCGTAGTGTAAGGCCAGTGCGAAGGGGTTAGGGCGAGTAAAACTAAACTCCAAACTTTTGATTTCGATTTAAAGCTTTCGTGACTGCAAGGATTCATCTTCTTTGGTTCTTTCGGTAAAGTCACGTAGAATGAGAATAAAATAATAAATTGATAAAATAAAATAACACAACAATATTCTCACGACGTTTCGGCCACAACACAAACAGCCTTCATCAGGTGAAGGGACGAGACTGGAGGACAGTGCTGTCCTCCAGTCTCGTCCCTTCACCTGATGAAGGCCGCTTGTGTTGTGGCCGAAACATCGTGAGAATATTATTGTTTTATTTTATCAATTTATTATTTTATTCTCATTCTACGTGACTTTACCGAAAGAACCAAAGAAGATCCAAACTTTTTATTTTACCAGCCCCACTGAGCTATGTGGCTCTCTTTCAGAAGCAACCTGGCTAACACAAATGATAGCTCAACAAAGTGGCTCATCACATGGAAATGTATTGCAACTAAATGTGGAGCGAAAAACCGGAGGACCCAGAGAACAATCCACGTGACCATGGGGAGAACACGCAAACTCCAAATATACAGCAGGCGTCAGGGTCGGGATCGAACCCACTACCTGCTGCATACCAGGCGAGGTAGTTAACGTCGCGCCAACCATGGCGAGATGTAGGTAGCGATGGGGCTAATGTGGTAGGGTTCTTCCTGGTGGGGAAAGAGATAGGGCTAGTACGTGGAGAGTTGGTTCAGGCAGGGATGGCATAGTTTTTGGGGCTGTATCGTTGCATTGAATTCAAATTGGCGCTTGCTGCGTCTCGCCCAGAAATCACGCGCAGGAATCGATTACAAATGGTCTGCTTGGTCGAGTTATTGTGCGACTGACTACAGCAGTCGTATGACTGGCCGCGCGTGCGACTGTGACTGTGACTGCGCACAGCTGGCTGAGAATCCACCAAACCACATCCTGTTCCTGACGAGTCTACCCGAGGAGACGAGCGAGATGATGCTCTCCATGCTCTTCAACCAGTGCGTCGCTCCTCACCCGCACGCTCACCCGCACGCTCACCCGCACGCTCATCGGCTCGCTCAGCTGCTCGCTCGCTCAATTGCTTGCTCTGTTGCTCACTCTATTGCATACTCAGTCACTGACTCAGTCGCCCACTCGGTCACTGACTCAGTCGCCCACTCAGTCGCTCACTCAGTTGCTCAATTGCACGCTCGCTCGAACACACTCAATCGCTCATTCAAACGTACTCTCAATCGCTCACTCAATTGCTCAATCGCTCACTCAATTGCACATTCCCTCAATCGCCATCGCTCACTAAATCACCCTTCAGCACACACACTCCACCTGCCCATCTGCAATCCCCCGCGTGCTAATTCCCGGCACGATCTTCTCCCGTGTGGCGTGTGCTATAAACCCCTAACCCGGACTGGAACCCAGGTTCCCAGGCTTCAAGGAGGTGCGTCTGGTTCCGGGGCGGCACGACATCGCCTTCGTGGAGTTTGAAAACGACGCGCAAGCCGGAGCGGCGCGTGACGCGCTGCAGGGATTCAAGATCACGCCGACCAACGCAATGAAGATCTCGTTCGCCAAGAAGTAGAACGTGCTGGGGATGGGTGTGAGGGTGGGGGGGCACACGGCACGGCGGGAGGCTGCACTGTTTCACGCCAGTCGGGAGTTTTCTTGATTAAAAGTGTAAAGGTTAATTAGCGGCAAGTCCCACGGCACCCCAGTGACCTCATCGCGAGTCCTGTTAACAATGGAATTGGCCGAACCTCTCCCCCCGGTGAGTGTAGCCCCGGACCCTGCCGATGAGCCTCGGTGGCGATGGCGATAAACTCGCCTGGCAAACTGGCTGCCCGAGTTCATCACCCACATTTTGGTGAAGTTGATTTTGCCCATCGCCTCCAGTTGACAATTGGGACACGCGGGCTTCATGAAACGGAATTAAGATCGCGAGTTAACATTTTTCAATCTGTACAGTGTTTTGAGGGGTGGATTTATGGCGCGGCGATTAGCACTCTGCGCCATGATTTCCTGCCACGACTAACGTAAGTGTAACATGGAGAACCGGTACCTGGTACCACGTCCGCCCACCACCTAGCAAATCAGTACGAGCCACGGTGGTGAAGTATGGGGGAGTGCAGCGATGTCACTGGAATTGCCCGCGATAAGAGCACCGGACCGGTTTTAATTTTAATTCCTCACGAATCTTCCGGCTTGTGTGGGGACGTGGCCGCGCCCCGTGCACGTGTGCCGCCCGCTACGAGAAGAGCCGTGTGTTGTGGTCCCCCGTGTCCCCCCTTGGTTACAGGTTCCCCGTTGTGTAATTATTCTTGCGCCGTGTGCGTAGCGGCACCAGCCTCTTGGGCGAGGGGGCTCGTGGCTACCCAACCCCCCTGCAGCCCTCAACCTCCCAACCCCCCTTACTGAGTCGCCAGGGAAGGGGGGCAGCGGTGGTCATGTGACACGCGAAGAGACCAATCAGGGGGGGGGGGGGCGGCCTCCCGCTGCCATGCAGCAGCGGAGCAGCGTCCTCACCATCGGGCGTGGAGACTTGCGACAGTTTTGATGCACGTGACGGCGAGGAGGTGACTTTGAGGATAATGGTGAGGATGATGAATATGACAGAGAAGATAACAATTTTAAAAGTAACAGGTGATGCTGACATTGGCGATGACAACAACCAGCAGCGTTTGACGACGACGGTAGCGACCGACGATAAGGACGACGGCGGGAGGAAGCGCCCTCCCCCGGACCGCACATTGAGTCATGGATGCCTCCGACGTCAAACTCGCTACCTCAACCTGGCTCTAGTTAAATTTGGACTTTGACCAACTTAGAGGCAACACCACAGCCATTGTGAACCGCTTGAGTGAGAGGGAGCGGGGGGGGGAGAAGTACTCAGGACTCGCAGAACCCCAGCGGTGTTGGTGCCCCCCCCTCCCTCCGCGGCTGCCCCAACGCCGCGTTGACATTGCAAAGCAGAGCGACTCGCAGAGTACCCATAGCTATCGGGTGACGTCATTGACGCGCTCACCCCCCTCCCCGTGGTGCCGAGTCGACGCAGGTACGTGTGGGTGTGGTAAGTACCGCAGCTGCCTCCATTGCACCGCGGAGGGCGTCGCGTCGTCATTGTTGTCGCTGTCCGTGCCGTATCATTGATGTCCATGTCGTACCCAGTGTCGTCGTCGTCGCTCTCCGTGTTGTGCTCTCGGGGTGTCTCCACTCGGCTGCCGGGTCTGCGGGGAGCGGTGGCGCAGCGTTTGATGCGCCACTAACCCCAGCGAACAAAGTTCGATTCTCCGCTCACGGTCACCCAACGCCAATGGCGATTATCTGAACCTGTCCTGGGCCCTCCCCTACGGTGACTCGGCCACAAATGAGTACCTGGTTTGGTGCAATGTGTTAACATTTCCAGAAGGAAACAAAGGCTTCCGGATGTGGCACTAGCCACGTCCCACCACCCTGTGCAGGATCGGCAACTGAATGCAAACACGGCTTTTATTCTAGAAACATTGAAGCATTTTCAGTGGACATGTTAACAATAATGGCCAAGCATCCCAATATGGGGCCACGGAGCTTGGGCGAGTTGGTGGTGCCGGTTGCGGCCGCCTTCCTGCTCGTCTGTGTGGTCCCCCCCCCCATGCCTCTGAATTTCGACGGAAACTTGCACAGCGCGGCATCGAGACTTTTGTGCTGTATGCCCGTTCACTCAGACCGCAGACCCCTCAGCGCCACCGAGACTCCCTCGACGCGCCGACTCGACGGTTTGCGTGCGTGCGTGTGCGGCAACGGGCGCTGAAAGAACAGATACTACCGAGTCGAGCAAGGGTTGGACACAGCACCCAGGGTCTGCCCCGTGCAGACATCGCACCTGGAGTCCAACGAGACCTCTGCGGTGGCAGCAGCGGCGGCGGTGGGAGTGGTGGCAGCCACGCCCACCGCAGTGGGGAGTGGCGCTCGCCAGCATCCCGAGGCAGGGAGAGTTCACTCGGCGGTGGGGGAGGGTGGCGTGCGGTGGTGACGCTCGAGCCACGGCAAGAAGGGACCTGGGCTCGATTTCCAACTTGGGCATCTGTGTGGAGTCTTTCTGGTGGTGCCCCCCCTGTTCTGCGTGGGTTTTCTCCCAGAGCCATTGACGCAGCGTGACTGGTATTGGCCAAAAACAACCTACCGGCAAATTGCACGTGTTAACGTCTGAGAACTTGTCAGGACCCTCCTAAAAACGAGTCTTGAGACTCGGACGAACCTTTCCTCGGTAAACGAATAGTCATTCTATGTCATCACTACGTCGCACAAGACAATTTCAGGAGGGGTCCTGCCAAGTTCACACAATCGTGGCTGATGCTGTGTAATCTCAGCCGAGACGTGATTTGCCTGATAAGAGGTTACACTGCGTGGCATTTTTAGCTACGGGGAGTTGGAAACCAGAGGAACTCCGACGCAGAATGAGGGGTGGGGCGGGATCGGACAAACTTCACACGAATGGAATCCCAGAGCTTGTTGCTGCGAGACACGAGTGGCGCCACCGCCTACGCTGGGGGGAGTGGGGCGAGGCTGCCTGTTTTGGTCAGGGGGAACTTCACCGTGTGGATGATGGTCCCGCGTCTCCGCTGAGGTAGACGACAACTGCTGCTGCTACCGTAGTTCTCTCCGAGAGGCGATGGGGGGAGAATGTGGGGAGATATTTGTTTTTATAAATAAAAGTTTTGCTATTTGTCCGGGTGTTCTTGGCTGCTACGTAGACGGTCACGTGGTCTCAGCTCCTTGAGTCGGTGGCTTCTTAACAACAGCGGTGATTGCATGTTCGGCTCTTTCGAGTTGGTGGTCTGGATAATGCCCAGAGCGTCTGTACGTGCAGTGCCGCACACCCTCGCGTTATGGTTCTGGCTGCACGAATGGTTCTGTATGCTGTGTGCATGTTGAATTTCTTTCGCACCGTGCGGAGGCTCTCTGTATGACAGTGTGGGGGGGGGGGGCCTGCACTTGGCCGGTGGTGGTGGTCATGGACATGGCCTGCGGTTGGCGCTGGGCGGCGAGATTTGGGGGAACGAACGTGGAAAATTGTGGTGGGTGTCGAGGAGCCATACCCCTTCCAAGAAAGCTACAGCAAGTGGATTAAACTCCCATCTGTTTGGGATAGTTACCCCGTGTACGCGTGGGTTGCCCCCACTTAATTGGCTGAAAGCCTCCACATATATAGAGGACTGCAGAACTTGGCCAGTTGGTAGCGCCGGCTCACTGCCTGGCTGTGGTTCCTCGCATTTCTTGAGTCGCCCTCTCCAAGAGCGAGTGAACCCGTGCGGTGGCGTTGCGCTACGAGTTTACTACGAAGCAGGTGGTGTTGCCGGAGCCGTGTAACGCTCGATATGTCACTCGACCCCTGGGCTGGTAGTGGAAGCGAGGCCCGGCGGAGCGTCAGAAGAGGCGCCTCATGACGAGATGTTAACTACCTCGCCCGGCATACAAACGTTCGTGGGTTTGATGCTGACGCCTGGTGCTGTATGTTTGGGGTTTGTCTCCAGGCTGTCCCCGCTTTTGTTTTCACCTCCACATTTAGGAATCCAACATCACGCGTTCCAGAGTATTTTGGCTGCTGCTAGAAATTTCCAACACGACGATGAAAAGGCCACTTCGTTGAGCTATCATTTGCGATAGCCAGGTCGCTTCAGTGGGGCCTTACCTGGTGAAATGCGATGGAAGGAGTTCACGGGCTCGACACGGTGGGCTGGGGGGGCCGGTCCCACTGAGGCGTCGGTTGACCGCGTGGGTCGGCGCCCGTGCCCTTTGGGGGTCTGAGGCGAGACTCCCTGCCGCGCCCGCTGCCGGTCCTCGCTGCGCGTGATGTGGCCCAACGACGAGGCGTCGGTGTGACGATTCAATGCGGCACTCGCCGGTTCACTCCGGCCACTCGCTCAGCGCTGGTCGTGTGCCGCCTCGTCGCTCTTCTATCGCTACTTTCTCTCATCTGTCACTCAACTCTCACCTGTCACTCATCTCTCACCTGTCACTCATCTCTCACCTGTCACTCATCTCTTTCTCTCACCTGTCACTCATCTCTCACCTGTCACTCATCTGTCAACTCTCCCTTTCTCTCACCTGTCACTCATCTCTCACCTGTCACTCATCTCTCCCTCTCACCTGTCACTCATCTCTCCCTTTCTCTCACCTGTCACTCATCTCTCACCTGTCACTCATCTCTCACCTGTCACTCATCTCTCCCTTTCTCTCACCTGTCACTCAACTCTCACCTGTCACTCATCTCTCCCTTTCTCTCACCTGTCACTCATCTCTCACCTGTCACTCATCTGTCACCTGTCACTCATCTCTCCCTTTCTCTCACCTGTCACTCATCTCTCACCTGTCATCTCTCCCTTTCTCTCACCTGTCACTCATCTCTCCCTTTCTCTCACCTGTCACTCATCTCTCCCTCTCACCTGTCACTCATCTCTCCCTCTCACCTGTCACGCATCTCTCACCTGTCACTCATCTCTCACCTGTCATCTCTCCCTTTCTCTCGCCTGTCACTCATCTCTCCCTCTCACCTGTCACTCATCTCTCCCTCTCGCCTGTCACTCATCTCTCACCTGTCACTCATCTCTCCCTCTCGCCTGTCACTCATCTCTCACCTGTCACTCATCTCTCCCTCTCGCCTGTCACTCATCTACTTCGCTCCTCTGCTCATCCTCTCCCCTTCGTCGTCAATCTCTCCCCATGCTCCCACCTGTCGCCCTTCATGCTTTGCTTTACCTCTCCTCACGCTCCCTCCCCTCTCTCTCTCCAGCCCCCCCCCCCTCTATTCCCTCGCCTCTCGCCGCTCTCCCCCCCCCCTTCTCTAAATCAGCAGCAGCGAGAGGAGGAGGAGATCGCGACTCGAGGCGCCGAACGCACGGCGCCCATCTTAACTGCTGCGAGTCCGCCTTTGTCTCTCTTTAAACATATAAACAACATACATAATACACATCCACAGCACATCCACGACACACATACCGCACGTATATTAATACAGTATATACACATACAGGCAGGAATATATGAAATTCAAATATATTACGCATAGACGCACACACGAACATAGTTACAGACTTGGGTCAAGTGCTGTAAGCGAATACCTATTAAGGCACACGAGGAGGTGGGTGGCCAGCTCTACGCCCGGCCGCCTTTGTCTCCCCAGTGCTGATGTTTCCACAGCGCACCGGGTACTCATTTGAGGCCGAGCCGACCTTGGGTAGGCCCAGGACCGGTTCAGTCATTCGCACAGACGTGTACTGTACACACGTACTCAAGAGACACGCACACACATCCCCTAAACGCACACACACAGACCACGGAGATCCACACAGACATAGGACACAGACACACGGAGATCCACACAGCCATAGGACACAGACACACGGAGATCCACACAGACATAGGACAGACACACGGAGATCCACACAGACATAGGACAGACACACGGAGATCCACACAGACATCGGACACACACACAGACACACAGAGATCCACACAGACATCGGACACACAAACAGACACACGGAGATCCACACAGACACACGGCGATCCACACAGACATAGAACACACACGGAGATCCACACAGACATAGGACACACACACAGACACACGGAGATCCACACAGACATAGGACACACACACAGACACACGGAGATCCACACAGACATAGGACATACAGACAGACATAGGATACAGACACACGGAAATCCACACAGACATAGGACACACACACACGGAGATCCACACAGACATAGGACACACAGACAGACATAGGACACACAGACAGACACACACGGAGATTCACACAGACATCGGACACACACAGACACACGGAGATCCACACAGACATCGGACATACTCAGACATCGGACACACAGACACACGGAGATCCACACAGACATCGGACACACAGACACACGGAGATCCACACAGACATCGGACACACACAGACACACGGAGATCCACACAGACACACGGAGATCCACACAGACACACGGAGATCCACACAGACATAGGACACACACACAGACACACGGAGATCCACACAGACATCGAACACACACAGACACACGGAGATCCACACAGACATCGGACACACACAGACACACGGAGATCCACACAGACATAGGACACACACAGACACACGGAGATCCACACAGACATCGGACACACACAGACACACGGAGATCCACACAGACATAGGACACACACAGACACACGGAGATCCACACAGACATCGGACACACACAGACACACGGAGATCCACACAGACATCGGACACACACAGACACACGGAGATCCACACAGACATAGGACACAGACATCGCACACACACAGACACACGGAGATCCACACAGACATCGCACACACACAGACACACGGAGATCCACACAGACATCGCACACACACAGACACACGGAGATCCACACAGACATAGGACACACACAGACACACGGAGATCCACACAGACATCGGACACACACAGACACACGGAGATCCACACAGACATAGGACACACACAGACACACGGAGATCCACACAGACATCGGACACACACAGACACACGGAGATCCACACAGACATAGGACACACACAGACACACGGAGATCCACACAGACATCGGACACACACAGACACACGGAGATCCACACAGACATCGGACACACACAGACACACGGAGATCCACACAGACATCGGACACACACAGACACACGGAGATCCACACAGACATCGGACACACACAGACACACGGAGATCCACACAGACATAGGACACACACAGACACACGGAGATCCACACAGACATCGGACACACACAGACACACGGAGATCCACACAGACATAGGACACACACAGACACACGGAGATCCACACAGACATAGGACACACACAGACACACGGAGATCCACACAGACATCGGACACACACAGACACACGGAGATCCACACAGACATCGCACACACACAGACACACGGAGATCCACACAGACACACGGAGATCCACACAGACATAGGACACACACAGACACACGGAGATCCACACAGACATCGGACACACACGAGCACGCCGCGCACTCGGCACTGCTGGAAGCATCTGTTGATTCAATTCCCTCCTCCTCTCCGAGACTCCCGAGACAAGACGGCTGATCTTCCCCTCCCCGCATCCCTCCCCGCGATGCCCCAGACGCTGATGGAGTGTGGGGGGGCGTGAGGGGGAGCGCCGGACCCCCCCCCCCCCCCACATTCCGCACAGTGACGCAGCCAGGGGTCGAACCGGGACCCAAGCAGCAGCAACAGCAGCAGGAGCAGCAACAACAGCAGCAGGAGCAGCAGCAACAACAGCAGCAGGAGCAGCAACAACAGCAGCAGGAGCAGCAGCAGCAGGAGCAACAGCAGCAGGAGCAGCATCAACAACAGCAGCAACAACAGCATCAGGAGCAGCAACAGCAGCAGGAGCAGCAGCATCAACAACAGCAGCAGCAACAGCATCAGGAGCAGCATCAACAACAGCAGCAGCAGGAGCAGCATGGACTTCTCATTCAACGGCACCTCGGTGAGATGACAAACCATCATCGCCATCACGCGACCCCGATGATCACCTCCACCACCATCGTCACCAAAAGACAAAGAATCCCCGTGTAGCCTGAACAGACTGTTGGGGCAAGTGCTATGAACGAGCAGCACCTATGAAGGCCGCCACGGCACACGAGGTAGTGGGTGGCCAGCGCCACGGCCGGCCGCCTTTGTCTCCCCAGCGGCGATGTTTGCACACCGCACCAGGTACTCATTTGAGGCCGAGTCGACCTAGGGGAGGCCCGGGACCGGGCGCAGAATAACCGCCGCTGGTGTTAGCGGTGGCCGTAAGCGGGAATGGAACCCGGGTGGCCTCGCGCCCCGGCTCGCTGCGAGAAGCCGGCAGCTCCCAGGGACGCGCCTCACAATCATCGCAATCTTTATTTAGACTGCAGGAGGAATCCCATGAGCCATGAAGCTCTTTTCCACGGATGTCCGGTAGGGGGCAGGGGGGCTCACAACGTTTACTCAAACCCTGCCTGGCCGCCTCTCGCCCGCCACTTTAGCAGCGCGGACTGGGCACCCGCTCAAGGCTCTCAGTCTCGCCGGCCGGTCACGTGCGTTGGGGGGTGGTGGGGTCAAGTGGTGGGGGGTGGTGGGGTCAAGCGGTGGGGGGTGGTGGGGTCAAGTGGTGGGGGGTGGTGGGGTCAAGTGGTGGGGGGTGGTGGGGTCAAGCGGTGGGGGGTGGTGGGGTCAAGCGGTGGGGGATGGTGGGGTCAAGCGGTGGGGGGTGGTGGGGTCAAGCGGTGGGGGGTGGTGGGGTCAAGTGGTGGGGTAAAGTGGTGGGGGTGCCCCCCCACCGCTGTCCCAGACGAGCGAGCAGAGACCAACCCACCGCTCTGGGGGGCCTCCTCCCTCGGAGCGGAGTGAGCAGGGACCGCGCCTTTGCCGTGGCACCGAGGCGTGCCGCCGTGCGGTTTGTACGTTCGCACGCGCCGATCGGGTGAGTCCGTTATTGACCCGACACTGAACACAGCGATCGTTATGAAGGAGTTGGTGGTCGTGGTGGTGAAATGGGGTTACATAGGAGTGGTGATGATGAAATAGGATTATATAGGCGTGGTGGTCGTGGTGAAGTAGGGTTACGTAGGAGTGGTGGTCGTGTTGATTTAGGGTTACATAGGAGTGGTGGTGAAGTAGGGTTATATGGGGTTGGTAGTCGTGGTGAAGTAGGATTATATGGGAGTGGTGGTGAAGTAGGGTTATTTAGGAATCGTGGTGTAGGGTTACATATGTAGTGACATATGACGTCACTAGCGTGTTGGGTCTGTTTGCATGACGTCACTGCTATGTCGGGTCGGTACGAATGACGTCACTGCCGAGTCGGGCAGTGTGGAGGCTGTTGAGTGCCACGCGGGGCTCGTGTCAGGCCGTGGCACTCTGAGTGAACCCGACCGGACACGTGACCGGATCAGGGTGGGGGCCAGGGGGACCTTAGGGGTCACGTGGTCGGGGAGCAAAGCCTTCTCGAGGGTTCGAGAAGGTGGGCGTGGCCTGGGTGTGGCCGGCCACGCCGAGGTGCATATAAGTGGGCTCCGCACGCAGAGCGTGGCTGTTCGCGTCCGGGATGCAGACGCCTCATGAAGACTGAAGACAGAAGCCTCAAGTCGTCGTGGCCAAGCAGAAGCCCTCCTGGCTTGGCCACATTGAGTACTACCCGAGTGTTCGAGCGTTGCGAGATTAGGACAGTGTGTGTGTTACAATTGTATTGCAGTTGTGTTAAATAGTGTTGCCTCCATACGAGTGTGTGTGTTCCTCTGTCGAACCATTACACATAGGAGTGGTGGTCGTGGTGAAGTAAGATTACATAGGAGTGGCGGTGAAGTCGTGTTACGTAGGAGTGGTGGTGAAGTAGGGTTATATTGGAGTGGCGATGGTGAAGTAGGGTTATTTTGCAGTGGTGGTGGTGAAGTTGGGTTATATTGCAGTGGTGGTGGTGGTGAAGTATATAGCTGCTCACCCCAAGCTATAAATGATCTGATACGTGCATTGTGTTGTCTTTTGGCACTGGTGTATGCCAATCGGTTTCAAAGACAATGTGCAATATTATCAGAGCATGTTTATTAACATGTTCACCACAATTACGTGTGGTTAATGCAGACTTGCTTCCTTGCGAAAGGTTTGTATTTGGTGTTTGAACCTCTTAACACCTGTTTTATTGCTAGAAAGGGTAAAACCTAATATTTTTCATGCTAGAGAATATTGGGACACCCGGAGAAAACCCAAAAACACTGTAAGCCATACAGATGGAACATATGTGGATTCGTTCCCACTGTCCCGCCTTCTCGTGGCGAGCCAGTGTACGGCTCCTCGGTGCATCATCAGCGTGTGATCCACCAACCCTCGCTGCTGCCTCCACCTCACTGGGTTACAGCAGCCACATGAAGCAGCGTGGCCACCGGCACTGCCGCCACCATCACTGCCACCACCACCCCCACCGCCACTGCCACCATCACTGCCACCCCCACCACTGCCACCATCACTGCCACCGCCACTGCCACCATCACTGCCACCGCCGCCACCATCACTGCCACCGCCACTGCCACCGCCACTGCCACCACCACCGCCACTGCCACCGCCACTGCCACCGCCACTGCCACCATCACTGCCACCACCACCGCCACTGCCACCATCACCACTGCCACCGCCACTGCCACCACCACCGCCACTGCCACCATCACTGCCACCATCACCACTGCCACCATCACTGCCACTGCCACCATCACTGCCACCATCACCACTGCCACCATCACTGCCACTGCCACCATCACTGCCACCACCACCGCCACTGCCACCGCCACCGCCGCCACCATCACTGCCACCACCACCACTGCCACCATCACCACTGCCACCGCCACTGCCGCCGCCCGTCTATCGCACTGGGCAGCAGAGAGGAATGATTCCTTTTCGGTTTTGACTGAGTGAGCGGGCGGGCGGGCAAGCGAGATAACGAGCGAGATAGCGAGCGAGTGAGCGAGCGGGTGACAGCGATAACGACGACCCCTCTCCCCCCACTCTATCCCAGCACATGCCTGTCATGGCCGCCTCCTTCATCGACTTCCCGGCTGGGACCGGCACCTTCGCCAACGATGAGGAGGACGAGGAGGAGGATGAGGAGGAGCTGGCAGAGGTGACCACCGTCTCCAGCGCTCACCACCACCACGGCCACCACCACCACGGCCACCACCAGCAGCAGCACGGCTCTGGCCCCAACACTGTCTCTGGTGCTGGGGCCGCTTCGGCCTCCGGCTCGGGGCTGGCGCTGCTGAGTGGCCACCGTGGCGCCGAGGGCCTCGCCGGCCCCGCCGGGGCGGGGGCCCGGCCCCAGCGAGGACGCCTCGACCGCGGCTCCGTGGGCCTCTGGGTGGCGCTCATCGCCACTGCCGCCAACATCCTCGTCATTGCCATCGTCTACGCCAGCACCTTCTGAGCCACCGCGGAACCACCGGTGGAACCATCAGTGGAACCATCGGTGGAACTACCGGTGGAACCAGCTGGGGAACCATCGGTGGAACCACTGGTGGAACCAGCGGTGGAGCTACCAGTGGAACCGTCGGTTGAGCCATCGGTGGTTCCACCAATGGATGGTACCAGTGGATCCACCGGTGGAACTACAGTGAAACCACCAGTGGCTCCACCAAAGGAACCACTGGCAGAACTACCAGTGGAGCTATCAGTGGAATTACCGGTTGAGCCATCAGTAAAACCATCGGTGGATCCACCGGAGGAATCACTGGCAGAACTACCGGTGAAGCAATCGGTGGAGCCATCAGTGGAACCATCGGTAGAACCATCGGTAGAACCACCTTTGGAACCATCGGTGAAACTACCGGTGGAACCATTGGTGGAACTACCAGTAGAACTACCGATGGAACCATCGGTGGAACTACCAATGGAACCATCGGTGGAACCATTGGTGGAATCACCAGCGGAACCTACCGGTGGAACTACCGATAGAACCATTGGCAGAACTACCGGTGGAATCATCGGTGGAGCCATCGGTGGAACTACCAGTGGAAGCACCAGTTGAAACATCGGTGGAACTACCGATGGAACCATCGGTAGAACTACCGGTGGAGCCATCGGTGGAACTACCAGTGGAAGCACCAGTGGAAACATCGGTGGAACTGCCGGTCGAACTACCAGTGGAAGCACCAGTGGAAACATCGGTTGAGCCATTGGTGGAACTACCGGTCAAACTACCGGTGGAACTAACTACCGGTGGAAGTACCGGAAGTATAGTCGGTGGAATTTCCGCTTATAATTATTCACTTCCATTCCAAGAAGCAAGAGGCATCGCGGTGGGACAAATCGCAAATACACAACAGGGTCCTCGCCGGAAAGCGACCACCAGCAGTTCACCAGCACCGTCTCGAGTAACGCCGGACTCTAGCAAACGCCGACGAGACACTGAATGCCAAAACCGGTCTAGTGTTTAGTGCTCGTGAGGTATGATGCACCACCAGAAGGAGAGGGGCCGTGTGGCCGATGGAACGTTTAAAGTAATGCTCGCATCTTTGTTTGCACAAGGGCACTGGCAGTTGCTCTGCTCCTCCGCAAGTCTCCCAGGTCCCCGTTCCCGTCCGTGACCGACGCCGCAGCGGCGAACACTGTTGACCGATGAGCCCAGACGAGGACTACGCCAGCCCGCTATCTTGTGTTTCGCTGCCCGCCCCCCTGTTGTTGGGACGTGGCACGCGCCGTTCTCAACCCTCTGGGTCGACGGTCTCAACGGCAACAAATGGCCACGCGTTCAGTTCTTTTGAGCCGGTGGTATGGACAAGGCTAAGAGCTACAAACGCTTCCTCGGGTCACGCGCTGTTGAGGGGGAGTGGTGGGACGGCGGTTAGCCTATTGCATTAAGTGTTTGATTCGGGGCCGTTAGCTGTCGTCGGTGACAAGCGCGCGAACCGTTTCTGGGCCTCCCTACGTCGACTCAGCCTTATAATAGGTACCCCGTGCTGTGTGTAAACAGTGCGACCGTGGAGACAGGGTGACGACGCTCGTAGCTTCAGTGGGTGATGACGCACGTAGTCTGGGAGCGGAGACGACGCTCGGAGCCTCGGTGGGAGACGACGCTCGGAGCCTCGGTGGGAGACGACGCTCGGAGCCTCGGTCGGCTCTGGCTACATAAACTGTGACAGCAGAGCTGCTCGGTATTGGTCCTGTGCTTGTTGTGGTGCATTGTCAGTAATAAATAGAACAGACGCAAAGCTGAAGGAGTGGCGTCTGTTGAACTCCCCGAGCGCAGGGTGGCCGCATTCTGCTGATGAGGCGCAGAGAAGTTGAGACCGCTCCACGTTTGTTTTGACCGTTCGAATGAGCGCTGCCCGGAGACTCTGGGGCGGGAGGCCACGACGCCGATGGACATCGCCATGAGTTTGAGATGGACAGGCGCAGAGCTGTACTATGAGTTTAGCATCATCACAGACAAAGATCCCTCGTGTAGCCTTCACAGACTGTAGGGGCAAGTGCTGTTAGCGAGCACCTATGAATATTCTTAGCTATTTCGGTAAAGTCACGTTGAAGGGAAACAATAAAATAATAAAATATATATAAAACAATAAAAATTCTCACGACGTTTCGACCATAACGCAAACGGTCATCAACACCTGATGATGACCGTTTGCGTTATGGTCGAAACGTCGTGAGAATTTGTATTGTTTTATATATATTTTATTATTTTATTGTTTCCCTTCAACGTGACTTTACCGAAAGAGCTAAGAATATGAATTACTGCAGTCACGAAAGCTTTAAATCAAAAATTTGAGCACCTATGAAGGCCGGCACGGCACACGAGGGTTTGGGTGGCCAGCATCACGCCCGGCCGCCTTTGTCTCCCTAGAGGGGTTCGACCTAATACAACGCAGTAGGTACTTATTTGAGGCTGAGTCGACCTAGGGTAGGACCAGGACCGCTTTAGATAATCGTCACTGGTGTTGGTGGCCGTGAGTGGGATTTTAACTGGGGTAGTCAGGTTCGTGGTGCAGTGCGCCAACCGCTACACGACCTCACCCCGCACATTATCACCAATACCAACACCCGCCATTTACCACGAAGTGACGATGACGTCAATACGGCGCCTGTGCCAGGCCAAGTGCACTTTGAGGCGACGTGAAGTGTCGAAGGCTCGCTGACAGGAGGTCTCGGGACAGATCCAGCAGGTGCCATAGGTTGACTGGTAGATTCACCAGCCGTACCCTCTACTGTGCCAACTTGATGCATTTTAGCCGCCCGGCACTTCGCTTGTTGTTGTGAGCTTCGCTCCTCCGCCCTCCGTTGTTGTTGGAGGGCGACTGCCTCCAACTTCCCAGCAGCAGCGTCCTTCACGAGCCTCCTCCACAGAGGCCGATCTTGACATCGCTGGTACCAGTCGTCGGCAAGTCCACTCAGCTCCACGTCCTCCTGTACCACATCACTCCATCTCTTCTCTAGCCCGCGTTGTGCCCATTTAGCCTCCTCTATGCGGCCAAATAAAATTTGCTTGGGCATGTGGTGGCTGGGCATGCAGGCTACATGACCCAGCCAAGGCAGCCTTGCTTGCCGGAGGAGCTCACTGATGGGAATCTGTCCAGATCTTTCAAGGACAATCCAGCCTGGTTAAACCCAGGATGGATCGTAGACATGCCAGCCTGAATGTTTCTAACCGGCGCAGATGTTCCATCATCACCATCACCGCCACTACCACCAACATCGCCACCACCACCACCATCATCATCACCACCGCAACGTACTGGTACAATCGCCGTACGCGCTGTGTTATTCAGACCAAACCACTGCCTCTCTGTGGAGTTTAACACGTAGGCTTTCGCGACCAGTATTCATAATAAAGGCTTTTGGGTTAGATCGTGTAAGTATAAATGTGTCGCAACCCTCCACCACCCGACACGACAAATCAGTAAAAAATGTGTCACGTTAACAAAACGCCAATGAGTTACTTCTTCAGCCCACCGGTGTGTTTGAAGAGTGAATCCACAACATTTAGAATTTGAGTACCACGTTTCGCTGGTAATTACATTCAGCATCTTCTGGCGATTTACTAATTAAATGATTACTAATCCATTATATACTTACAATACCCCCCCCACCTCCGCCTCTGATCTCGAAACCTGATGGGGTTCAATGATGACGTCGTCCTGCACTATTTAAGACTGGAAGCAGGCGGATGGCTTCACTATTCTGCCAAATCGCCTGAAGATGCTGGATGTAATTACCAGCGAAACGTGGTACTCAAATTCTAAATGTTGTGGATTCACTCTTCAAACACACCGGTGGGCTGAAGAAGTAACTCATTGGCGTATTGTTAACGTGACACATTGTTTACTGATTGGCCGTGTCGGGTGGTGGAGGGTTGCGACACATTTATACTTACACGATCTAACCCAAAAGCCTTTATTATCTGTGTGGAGTTTGTATTCTTTCCCCCTTCTCCGCGTGGATTTCCTCCAGATTCTCCGGTTTCCTCCTCCCTACGCGTTAAACGTCCTCCTTCCATAGCTAAACCCCACACCCACAGTGGCACTGCTATTTAGCCAAAACCACAATATCCAATGCTGAAACATTCCCTGCAAATCGCTCTGTTGGGATCACGCAGAGTGGGCAGCAGTGACATCGCCCCCCTCCCCGACCACGAATACTTGGCAGGGCCCCTCCTGAAAGAGTCCCGACACTCGGTGAGCTCCTCCTTTAGGTTAACCCAGCGGGATCTCGAGAATTGTCTGAATGTGTGGAGAGCGGCGGCGGAGTGGTTAGAGCACTGCACCTCGAACCCGGGGCAATGTCAGTTCGATTCCCACTCACGGCCGCCATCAGTGACGATTATCTGAACCGGTCCTGGGCCACGCCTAGGTAGACTCAGCATTAAATTATATTCAGTTTTTTTTTATTCAATTTATTTGTTTTGGTATAGCCCTGTGAGCCATTCGGCTCTTGAATCGGGTGCAACCACAACAAACAAAAAAACAAAAACACGAACAAGAAAAACATCTTAAAGTGACTATGTGACTGCAAACAGAAAATCCATGAGTTGCGGTGTGTGAACATCAGCACTGGGGAAACAAAGGCGGCCGGGCGTGGTTCTGGCCACCCTCTTCATAGGTGCGCCGTGCCGACCTTAATAGGTGCTCGCTAACAACACTTCCCCCAATAGTGTTGTTAGAGGCGATATGGGGGAATCTGTGTCCTGTGCCTGTGTATTGTGTGTCTGTGTCTATGTGTGTAGTGTGGGTATTGTACACGGCGTGTCTGTAGGCACGTGCATATCCAGGTGTGTATTGTATGTGTGCATGGGAATGTTGCTGCGCGTTTGAATACCTGATCCATCAACCCCATCCCTACGTGACCCATCAACCTCCAGTGTGTCTGTGGGATGACTCAATCCACACACACACATCCCTCCCTCCGCACGCCGCCTTTGTCAACGGCGCTGCCCGTGTGTAATGACACCACTGTGTCAATTGTCCAGCCGGGGTGGTTAGGTGGAGGGGGTGAGTGGGGATGAGAGGCCCGCGTTGATCATTGGACAATGGTTGTTGTGTGGTTAATTAGTCCTCACGATCCGACCGCCCCCACCCCCCATCCCCCAGTCTCATCCTCTCGGCGGCTCCGCGTCCTTCAGAGTTTGTGAGCTCCGAGGCGGGGAAGGTCGCGGGAATCGGCGCCTCTCGTCTCGGACGAGGTTGTTGGAAGTCTCGACGGAGAGCACGGGCGCCCTGGGGTCCACGATGCCGTAGAAACTCGGCGTAGCAAGCGGGCAAATTGTCATCTGTGCCAAAGGCACCCGAACAGGGAACCTCAGTCGTGGCTGCGGGGATCATCATCGCGACCGCGGTGTCTCTTCTCAAACGACCTCTGCAAAGGTACGAGCTCGCGCATGTCACAGTCTTCTCCCATCCCCTCTGCCGCGCCTGATGATTGTGAACGCCAGTCATCAGAATGATGGCGATGCCGCGGTTGTTAAATGACCCGTCGCTGGCGAGGCTGTGCGCGGAGCGGTGGTTTCGCCTTTCCGCTGCAAACCCGGCGAGCCGAGTTCGATTCCCGTCCACGGCCACCAGCACCAGTCGCAAATGTTTGAAAGTTGTCATGGGCCCTCCCCTAGGTCGACCCGGCCTTAAACGAGGACCTGGTGCGGTTTGTAAAACACCACCTGCTGGACATCTGTAAAGAAGAGCTCCCATAGGTCATCGGATTCCTCCGGCAGTAGAAATACATTTATTTTGATTCAGTACTTACAGATAAATGCGGCCGTTCCGCCCTTAATAGGTGCTCACTAATAGCAATAACCCGATCAGTCTAAGTAGGCTACGGTGGCGGGGAGGGGGTCTTTGTGTGTATGGGGATGGTGGTGAGTGACTGTGAGCGCGGGTGTTCAAACAGGAGTGGGATGTTGATTGGGGGTGTTGAAGGCGGGCGGATGGGTGAGTGTTTGTTTGGGGGGGGTGAGTGTTTGTGTGGTGGGTGAGTCTTTTGTGTGGGTAGGTGAATGTATTGTGTGGGTGGGTTGAGTATTTTGTGTGGGTAGGTGAGTGTATTGTGTGGGTGGGTGAGTGTTTTGTGTAGGTGGGTGAGTGTTTTGTGTGGGTGGGTGAGTGTTTTGTGTGGGTGGGTGAGTGTATTGTGTGGGTGGGTGAGTGTTTTGTGTAGGTGGGTGAGTGTATTGTGTGGGTGGGTGTTTTGTGTGGGTGGGTGAGTGTATTGTGTGGGTGGGTGAGTGTTTTGTGAAGGTGGGTGAGTGTTTTGTGAAGGTGGGTGAGTGTTTTGTGTAGGTGGGTGTTTTGTGTGGGTGGGTGAGTGTATTGTGTGGGTGGGTGAGTGTTTTGTGTGGGTGGGTGAGTGTATTGTGTGGGTGGGTGAGTGTATTGTGTTATTTAACATCTATTTTGACCACGTAGTTCGTGAAGCCTTCAATAGCTTTACCGGGGGAATCTCCATATGGTACAGATATAATGGGAGGCTGCTCGATGCCCGGGTGCGGTCAAGAGATGGCTCCCTATTGCTCAACCACGTTATGTATGCCGATGATTTGGTAATAGCTGCTCATTCAGAGGAGGAGTTGGAGACGCTGCTGCTGAGACTGGAGCGTGCCACTAAGAGATGGGGCCTTACCATCAGCCCCACCAAAACTAAACACCTGCCTGGGTATTTTGTACCATCGGACACTCCACCCCCACAACTCCCAATCGGTGATGAGGCAGTTGTGGAGACAGTGGAGAGTTTCCCATACCTGGGCAGTGTGCTTATGACCGGCTCCAGTTTGACAGCAGAGGTCTCACTCCGAATCAGTCGAGCGGCAATATCTTTTCATCGGTTGCGTAATGCTGTGTGGAAGCTACCTGGTCTGTCGCTCCGCACTAAGCTTCAGGTCTTCTCGGCCACGGTAATTCCCTCCCCTCTCTACGCTTGCGAAACGTGGACCCCCCTAATGGAACATCTTCGCCGGTTAGAAACATTTAGGCTGGCCTGCCTACGATCCATTCTGGGTTTAACCAAGCTGGATTGTGTGAGGAGCTCACAAATCCTTGAAAGATCTGGGCACGGTCCCATCGGTGAGCTCCTCCGGTCATGTAGCCCGCATGCTCAGCCACCGCATGCCGAAACAGCCTTTGTTCGGCCGGATCCAGGGGGCTAAACGTGCGCGGCACGGGCTAGAGAAGAGATGGAGTGATGTGGTACAGGAGGACGTGGAGCTGAGTGGACTTGCCGATGACTGGTACCAGCAGTGTCAAGATCGGCCTCTGTGGAGGAGGCTCGTGAAGGACGCTACTGGGCAGTTGGAGGCAGTCGCCCTCCAACAACAACGGAGGGCGGAGAAGCGACGCTCACAACAACGAGCGGAACGCCGGGTGGCTAAAGCACAGCAGGTTGGCACAGTAGGGGGCACAGGTGGGGCATCAGCCAGTCATCTCAGTCAGTCGACCCGTGGCACCTGGGTCTGCCCTGAGACCTCCTGCCAGCGGGCGTTCGACACTTCACGTGGCCTCAAGGTGCACATGGCCTGGCACAAGCGTCGTGGTGACGTCACCGCCACTTAGTGGCGAATGGCGGTTGTTGTTGTGTGGGTGGATGTAGGTGGGTGAGTGTATTGTGTGGGTGGGTGAGTGTTTTGTGTGTAGTGCAAGGCCGTAGCCATGGAGTCAACATTGGGGGGGACCAAATCTTCCAGGGGGTTTGGGGGTCCCAAACCATGAAAATATCTAAATTTGAAAACTTAATTTCCTGCCTAAAATATTAAAAAATTCACTAACACATGGGAAGGACTTTTTTGTTATAGTGCCTAATAGTGTAAAGTATTACATTGCTCTGTTTTTACTTTTTTACCATTTCTTGTTTCATTGTAAGTAATGTTTGAGATTATGGATTAATAAAGTACAACTATAACCACAATCATATAAACAGAAATCTATGCACTGATTTATACGAAGACAAGTCCAGATGTTGTGGCCAAGGTTTAGCAAATTGTTGTTTTCATTTACATAACATAGCAATTATTATAACGTTTTAATATTTTTATAGCAATATATTGGGGGGGACATTTTGAGCATATTTGAATATTGGGGGGGATGTGTCCCCCCCAATATATATTATAATTACGGCCTTGGTGTAGTGCAGTGGTTTACGCACTTGCTGCGCTACGAACCCGGCGACCCGTGTTCGATTCCCGATCACGGTCAACACCAGTGGCAATTTTGGCACAGCTGGTGCATCTGCCATTCAACCCACGGCACCTGGGTCTGTCCCGTGACCTCTTACCAACGAGCCTTCGACACTCCGCGTGGCCTCAAAGTGCACCTAGCCTGTCACAAGCACAGTGGAGACGTGACCGCCACTTAATGGGGAATGGCAGCTATTGTTGTTGCGTGTGTGAATGTGCACAGGGGTTAGCGCACTGCGCGAATAACCCGGCGAGCCGAGTTCGATTCCCGCTCACGGCCATACACCAGTCCCGGGATGGAGCGGTGCAGGCTGAGCCCTGCTAGGCTGCGATGCAGGGCGAGCCGTCTGTAGTGTCTCTCGCTCGCTGCTCTCACGCAGAGACGTCGCCATGCAGGTGCCAGCGACTCACGGCGGGCACGCAGCAACAGCGGCGGCGTCGACAGCGGCGACCGTGGCGGCCGTGGTGGCCACGACCCTGGGGGTCGTCGCAAACGGCACGGACGCGAGCGGCTGCCCCGAGGAGACCTTCGAGGCGGCGCTGGAGAACGGCACGCTGCCCGACTGCGGGGCCGACCTGTCCGCGGCGGCCGTGCTGCTGCCCGTGGTCCACTCGTTGGTGTTCGCGCTCGGCCTGCCGGGGAACGCGGCGGCGCTGTGGCTGTCGGCGTGGCACGCGCGCCGGGGCAACGTCCTCGCCGTCTACCTCCTGGGCCTGAGCGCCAGCGACCTCCTCTACGTCGCGGCGCTGCCGCTGTGGATCGAGCACGCGGCGCGCCGCCGGCTGCGCTGGGCGTGGGGCGACGCCGCGTGCCGCGCCGCCGCTTTCCTCCTGGACGCCACCAACAGCGCGGCCGCCCTCTTCCTCTGCTGCGTCGCCGTCGACCGCTACCTCGCCGTGGCGCACCCCCTGCGCTCGCGGCCCCTCCGCCGCGTCCGCGTCGCCCGCGCGGTCAGCGCCGGCGCGTGGGCGGCCGCCGTCGCCGAGCACGCCCCGGCGCTCGCGCACCCGGCCGTGTCGCGCGCCCACGCCGCCTGCCTCGACCGCTTCCCGCTCGAGCGCTGGGCGGCCGGCGCCGGCCTCGCGGTCGCCTCCGTCGGCTTCCTGCTTCCGCTGGCCGGGACGGCGGCCGCCTACGCGGGGGCGGTGCGCGCCGTGCGCCGCTGCCCCGCGGTCGGGCGTCGGCGCGGGCGGCGCGTTCGGAGGGTCGCCGTCGCCGTGGTGCTCATCTCGGCGCTCAGCTTCGGGCCCTTCTACGCGGCGCTGCTCGTGCGTGCCGCGGCGCGCCTCGCGCTGGGCCCCTGCGCGGCTTGCCGCCTCGACGCCCGCGTGGCGCCCGCGTACGAGGCGGCGTTCGCGCTCACGGCCGTCAACAGCGCCCTCGACCCCGTGCTCAACGCCCTCGCCGTGCCGAGCGCCCGCGAGCCGCTAGCGCGGGCGCTGGCGCCGCTCGCCGGGTGGGCGAGGGAGGCGGCGGCGCGGTGGCCGTGGCGGAGACGAAGCGCCGTGCCGGACGCCGTCCCCCCGTGCCCCCCACAGTGCCCACCCCCGTGCTCCCCACAGTGCCCACCCCCGTGCCCCCCACAGAGCACCCCCCCGTGCCCCCCCACGGTGCCCACCCCCGTGCCACCCACAGTGCCCACCCCCGTGCCCTCCACAGAGCACCCTCCCGTGCCCCCCACAGTGCCCAACCCCGTGCCCCCCACAGTGCCCAACCCCGTGCCCCCCACAGAGCACCCTCCCGTGCCCCCCACAGTGCCCAACCCCGTGCCCCCCACAGTGCGTGGAGGAGGAGTCAGCCCCAGCACCGCTGTCCAGTGACACGGAGATGGTTGCTGGGATACGGTTGCCTGGAGACGGATGCAGTGAGGATGTCCTATCGATGTCGGAGTAGCCACTGTGATGACTGTGGTGAAGCTAGTGGTGCTGATGGTGGTGGTGATGCTGATGGTGATAGCGATGATGGCGGTGGTGATGGTCGTGATGGTGGCGGTGATAGTGGTGATGGTGGTTCAGGGTTAACGTCGAGCTGGGCCATTGATAGGCGGGGTGCGTGATGGGGTTAGGGTCAGGGCCGTGTCTCACGCTGCGATGTGATTGGTCGTGTCGGGAGACAGGGATATCCGTCACGTGTCACTCTGCTCACTCCGGCGGCTCCTCCTCGCTCACCCGAGGATCTCCACTCTCGGCCCTCGGCCAACGGTGGGGATTTCTCATTCCTATGGCGGGGCCGAGTTGATCAGAATCAGAATCTTGATGTCGACTGGAAGAATCCGATGAGCTATGAAGCTCTTTTACACAGATATCCAGTAGGGGCGGGTCAGAAAGTTACGGCAACAAACAGTACAAAAACCAAAGTCTGGGAAAGCGAAGTCACTAAAAAAACAAAGTAAATAAAGCTTACAAGTACAAATTGCATAAGTACTTCAATCCCTGCCGATTATCCAAATGACAACCACTGCTGACTTCCTCAAAAAACGGCATTCACGTTTTCGACCCCAGATGGGCTGCGTCAACCACCAACCAGGATGTGAACTCTCAACTCCTTTGCCGCATGCCAGTGTCGGGGATTCCCACAACCAACACAAAAGAATCTCAACTCCCATCCCAGGCTCGGGCGGCGGTGACGGAGTGGCGACGCCCGCGCTCCCACACGGCGAAAAGCAACGCCTCGGTTCGATGCCCGACTGGGACGCTGCTGCGTGTGGAGTTTGTATATTCTCCCCCTGTTCTGCGGTGTGAGTGTGTGCCGTGCCAGCCTTCATAGGTGCTCGCTAAAAGCACTTGCCCCAACAGTCTGTTCAGACTATGCGACGGAACTTTGCCTTTGTGAGTGGAGTTTGTATTCTCTCTCCTGTTCTGTAGTGAGTGAGTGGAGTTTGTATTCTCTCTCCTGTTCTGTAGTGAGTGAGTAGAGTTTGTATTCTCTCCCCTGTTCTACAGTGAGTGAGTGGAGTTTATATTCTCTCTCCTGTTCTACAGTGAGTGAGTGGAGTTTGTATTCTCTCTCCTGTTCTGTAGTGAGTGGAGTTTGTATTCTCTCTCCTGTTCTGTAGTGAGTGGAGTTTGTATTCTCTCCCCTGTTCTACAGTGAGTGAGTGGAGTTTGTATTCTCTCTCCTGTTCTGTAGTGAGTGGAGTTTGTATTATCTCTCCTGTTCTACAGAGAGTGAGTGGAGTTTGTATTCTCTCCCCTGTTCTGTAGTGAGTGAGTGGAGTTTGTATTCTCTCTCCTTGGTTCTATTCGGTAAAGTCACGTAGGTAAAAAATAAAACAACAAAAATCACAACGTTTTGGCCACAACACAAGTGGCCTTCATCAGGTGAAGGGGACCGTACTGTCACGAGAACAGCGTTGGAGTGAAGACAGTGCAGCCCAGGTCGCGTCGTTTTAAGCTGTGTGGGAGAAAACAAAAAGCTTTGACAAAGGAATTCGCATAAAATGACCGAAAAGCACAAGAGGACTGGCACGGAGGGGGGGAGGGGGTGTGAAGTGGAACGTAGAGGACCGGCACGGGGGGGTGGGGGGGAGTTTACAAATGTAGGTGTGAAGTGAAATAAGCTTCTATGAAAGTTTGGTATATCACTATTTGGATAAATACCATTGAAAATTAGTTTAATGTTTGGTATGATTTAGAACATCTTTCCAATGGTTGCTTAATTTGAAACCATCTTCTCGGTTGAAATTGTGTCTGTGTTTGTTAATCTGAATTGCCTCGTGGATAAATCTCTGATGAAAACCCGTGGGTTTACAAAGGACCTTGGTATCGGAGAAAACTATATCGTGATCACCAACAGCATTGTAACAGTGGTCAGCTACGGCAGAAGAATTCGTTCTGCCGTGTTTCAGATCTGATTTGTGCTCGCGAATTCGGTCAGAGACATGTCGTTTCGTCTCCCCAATATAGCAATCACCACAAGTGCAGCTCAATTTGTAAACCCCGGGCTACTGTAAGTCAGGAATGACATCCTTCACGGATGGGATCAGATCACGAATTTTGTGTACTGTATTGAACGGGACCAGGATCTTGTGTTTGTTTAGAATTTTGGAGATCTTTTTAGTAACGCCTGCTATATATGGTAGTGTGATGGTTTTGATCGGAGTATCAAGTGGTTGTTTCTGTATGGAGGGAGAAACAGCTTAGTGGATGGTACGGTCAGAGTATCCGTTTCTCTTGAGGGCCAGATGTACATGTTTTAATTCACTGGTCAGGTGGTGTTGGTCCGAAATGCAATGTGCCCTGTGGTATAACGTTTTGATGAGATAATTATTTTGAGTTGGGTGGTGGTGGGAATCAGGTTTCAAGTAGGAATCTGTGTGGGTGGGTTTCCTGTAGACAGAATGTCCCAATGAGCCATCAGGTCTCCTCTCAAACAAAACATTCAAGAATGGCAGCTTGCCATCTTTCTCCACTTCCATGGTGAATTTGATGGCGGGATGTCTAGAATTGATGTGGTGTAGGAAAAGGTTTAAAGCTGGGAGGCCATGTGGCCAAATGACGAAAGTGTCGTCTACATATCTCTTCCACAGGGAAGGTCTGAGGGTGGAAGTCTGGATGGCGTCTGATTCAAATTTCTCCATGAAAACATTGGCTATCACTGGTGACAAGGGAGAACCCATGGGGGTACCCTCATTTTGTTTGTAGAAGGTGCCATTCCAAGTAAAGTAGGTATTGGTGAGGCAGTGCCTAACCAGCGCAGGTGTATCGGGGTCTAGTCCATGTTGTACCAAATTTTCAATTATTTCAATGGTATCAGGTACTGGGACCTTGGTGAACAGAGACCACATCGAAGCTGACAAGGATTTCGTCAGGGGACAGTACAACGTCTTTGACCATAGAGACCAATTGGGCTGAGTTAAGTACTGCTGAGGAGGTCTTGCCAGTGAAAGGTAGCAAGGTATCTGACAGCAAATGTGCTAGCTTATAGGTAGGGGAGTTGATCGTGGATACGATGGGTCGTAGTGGGGTACCTTCTTTATGAATCTTGGGGAGACCATAGAATCTAGGGGGTCTTGCAGCAGAACGAATTCTTCTGCCGTAGCTGACCACTGTTACAACGCTGTTGGTGATCACGATATAGTTTTCTCCGATACCAAGGTCCTTTGTAAACCCACGGGTTTTCATCAGAGATTTATCCACGAGGCAATTCAGATTTACAAACACAGACACAATTTCAACCGAGAAGATGGTTTCAAATTAAGCAACCATTGGAAAGATGTTCTAAATCATACCAAACATTAAACTAATTTTCAATGGTATTTATCCAAATAGTCATATACCAAACTTTAATAGAAGCTTATTTCACTTCACACCTACATTTGTAAACCCCCCCCACCGTGCCGGTCCTCTTGTGCTTTTCGGTCATTTTATGCTAATTCCTTTGTCAAAACGTTTCGTTTCCTCCCACACAGCTTAAAAGGACGCGACCTGGGCTGGACTGTCTTCACTCCAACGCTGTCCTCGTGACAGTACGGTCCCCTTCACCTGATGAAGGCCACTTGTGTTGTGGCCGAAACGTTGTGATTTTTGTTGTTTTATTTTTTACCTACGTGACTTTACCGAATAGAACCAAAGAGTATGAATCCTTGCAGTCACGAAAGCTTCAAATCTAGAATTCTCTCTCCTGTTCTACAGTGAGTGAGTGTAGTTTGTATTCTCTCCCCTGTTCTGTAGTGAGTGTAGTTTGTATTCTCTCTCCTGTTCTACAGTGAGTGAGTGGAGTTTGTATTCTCTCTCCTGTTCTACAGTGAGTGAGTGGAGTTTGTATTCTCTCCCCCTCTTCTGCGTGGGTTTCCTCCGGTTTCTCCGCGTTCCTCCTCCCATAGATAAACATGCACAGTGAAAGCGGTATCGGCCAAACCACATCCCAATGCTGACACATTCCCTGCAATCACTCAATGAGGATCACGCGCATCAGCAGTAACATCCTCCCCACGCCCCCTACTGTCAAAACTTGGCAGGACCCTCCTGAAAAAGGGCCTTGAGACTCCGTGAAACCTTCCCAGGTAATACAAATAATCTGAGGGTTGTCTGTGAGCGTGAGGTGAGTGTGGTTGGTAGTGGTGGTGGAGGCGTCTAGGAGCGGATGCGCCCTACTCTCGGTGTGGGTGGCGAGGAGATGTTAACAACCTCGACGGGTGTACAGGAAGTGGTAGGATCGAGCCTGACCCTCACGATGCCTGATGTATATTTGGAATTCGCGTCTCTCTCTCTCCCTGTGGTCGCGTGAATTTTTCTCCGGGTCCTCTGGTTTTTCCCTCCACATTTACAATCAACGTGCGTTTCGAGTACAGTATTTGACTGCTTTCAATTTGCATGTGGCTTTTGAAAAGAATAGCTACGGAGCTCAGTGAATCTTAACTGGTTAAAATATAGTTTACTTTTAGTTTAGTTTAAGAGACGTTGATCAGTTAATTGATTTGTTGTCCGGATAACGACGATGATGATGGTGGTGGTGAAAGGGAATCCCAGAGTGGAGCCGCGCGAGGGAGCCGAAAGAGAAGTGGGTTGTGACCTGAGTGTGGTGAGTGGGTGGGTGAGTGGGTGAACGGGTGAGTTTTTGAGTGGGTGAGTTTTTGAGTGGGTGAGTGGATGAGGGTGAGTGGATGAGGGTGAGTGTATAAGTTGATCCTCGCTTGTGCCACTGCGCGAACTCCGCCGTGCCCCAGCGGGGTCCCGGCTTGGGGGTCGTGGGCCCGACGCCACGTGCCCACTGGAGGCCCGAGGCCTGAACCCTTTGACCTTTGACTCTGTCCACAACCACCAAAGGCCTCCCAGGAGGCAGTGGCTCTGCAAGTCGAGAACGAACGCGCACTGTGCGCCATCGCCGTTTTGTTTTTTGATAATAAAACTTTTCATTCGCTTGCGCCGCGTGCTGTAACTCCACTGCTAAAT